AACAGCTGTTTTGATAATGAAAGAAACGCAGCTTTTTCTGGTGCATTCAAACACCGGCTCACTTGCAGGTTAATCCTGTTACGTATATCTTATATAATCTTTTCACTACTGCTTTTAAATAAGACAGAGTTGTAGCCAGATCCTTCTTGGTCCCTTGACAACTTTGTCACTCAAACCTCTCTTAGAAACCAGAAGTATGAAACCACATTCAGCTATAACTGAGGCCTAATGTGACCTGTCCTTAATGCTGATTGACAGAGAGTGTAGGAACAACTGAGATCACTCAGCACTGATTAAACCCTGACGATAATAACTGTACAGTACATCAGTCTTCCATATTCATCAAGCTCTGACATGCATCCGTTAAGTAATCACAGCAGGAGAAATATAGACACGGGTGTGAACATTGCCAACAATACTGTATAATGCATGGCAGTATAATACAAGCAATTTATATAATGAGATTCATGCCATTTGTAGAGATTGATACATTAAAATTAAAGAATGTATCATTTTAGGCACCATAGCACAGACAGCTTTCTGAGTTTTTGCACTATGGGTTATTTTTACACCCAGCTGTAACTGTTCTTCGCAGATGGCCATTACACTCAACTATATGGGCTTAATTTAATCTGTTTAATATATACTACAATATGAATGACATAACTTGTTTCAAGCTGTGCAGACAGAAGATGGAGAAAGCTGGAGAAATGAAGGTTTGGCTGAGAAAAAACGTGAAGGTTAGTGGACGGAATAAAGGACTTTGACCAGCTTTGGGAAATGAGTGGGCAAACAAAATGACAGGCTCATCCCCCTGTCCCTCTGCTCTTTGCTCTCCCTGATCTCTCATTGTTTTTTTTTCCTTTATCAGTGCTGATGCTCTCAATCTGTCACAGCGATTGCCTCATGGCATAATAATTTGACTAAATTGAGCCATAATGCGCCTTGTAAATTTAATTTTGTCTCAAAACCAGATTAACCCATATGACAGGATGCACATGTCTATCTATGCGCGTCTGCCAGCACGGGTATGTGCGCATTGTGCATGTTTGTGTGTGGATACACTATGTGCTTGCCAAGACCCTTAATCCCAGGAGCGTATGCTGAATAAATCAGGAGTATTTCTGAGTGGGAGAAAAAAAATCCCTATCCCTTCAAACACTGCCCATAGATTCAAAGAGTTAAGCACACATGGACAGACAACATCAGCAAGTTGAACACAATCGCACAACTAGATCTAGGACTGGAGAAAAATTAATACATGTGACCATCTGACTGGTCTTCATCATAAATAATGCACTCTGCTGGATGCTTTACTTCTGCATTTAGCAGAATAAGTGCAGAATACAAAAACAGTGCATAAAAGTATTTTAAGTATTTCAGTATGGTAGTTAAAAACTACTAGACTTAGAGCAAAAAGTAATGAAATGTTTGATCAATTGTTTCTCTGTTATAACAATGATTCTTCTACTTGTGTAAAGCTTGTGTTTTTTCCATGAAGTGCTCCCACGTTTGTAAGAAGAATCCATTTGTGGGTTGAACAGCAGAGTAGAGTATGTAGGTTGTGCCAATGATAAACTTGCCAAATCTTCCTTGCCAATGCCAAACAGCTTATTCTGTGACCAACACAAGCGCATTGGCTGACTTGCGACAGATGAAGAATGGGATACCATCCCACTGCAGTGTGCACTGGTGACCAGCATGATGGAGAGGTGCCAGGCTGTTGTTACCATCTATGCTTCTTCCAAGTGCTATTGGGGTCCCCCGTTTGTTAAATTAATAAACTGTTACATTTTCAATATTGTTTCTTCAGACTTCAATCATCCGACTGAATAAACAACACCAAACAAGAGTCCTGTTTGGTGGGTCTGCTGCTCAACCCACAAATGCATTTTTCTTACCAGTGTGGGACCATTTAAGGGAAAATAAACAACAGTATAAGACTTATTACCAAGAAACATTTTACAGCAAATAAATAATTGACCAAACACAAATTTCCTTTCTTTTTGTGCTAAATTTAAAGCATACTTGCATTCCAGATTTTATGTTTTATAAAAAAAAAATAATAATAAAAAATAAACCTCATCAGACTGGTCATTTCCACTAAGTGTCAAACATGAACAAGAACTGATCTCCTGTCACATTCATACACTCACACACCCACCATCCTTTCCCATCATCTGACCACTCTTACACTGAAGTGGTGTCAGCAGTGTGACATTTTTCCCTGGAGAGTGAGGTAGGTAGGTTTGCTCAGACAGTTGGGATTATTAAATATGTATTGCAGCACAGTGATAGGACACCACAGGCCATTAGGTATTATAAATATATAATTCAGCTCAGCTACATATTTCAGCGTCCTGGATAAATGGCACACTAGCATACAAGCCTCCTTATTAGCATCCCAATGCTAAAATGCATCTCAATTAGACTGAGTGTCAGGTCTCATTTGGTGAGGCAGGGATCGAGATGGAAAGGGCCAGTGTATAAATGACAGAATAAATGAAAGCGTTGTGCCAAAATATGGAGGAAAAGAAAGCAGCAGAGGAAAAAGGTATCACTGACCAACAGTTTGCAGATTTGCTGATATATTGATTGTGAGCTGGGCTTAAACTTTAATCATTTCTGGACTGTTTAATAGCAACGCGAGTGAAGTTACTGGTCTCACGAACTCTTTTTTTCATTTTTATACTCTCCTAATCCCATTTTTTTCTCCTCTTGACACTACCATTCAATGGTGCGCTTAACTCTTTTTTTCCAACAAGCCATATCTCCTCCCTATTCCTCTGTCATCCATCTTTACCATTCTTTAGCTATCCTTCTCTGCCTGACAATCCTTTAGCAATAATCATGTCACCCTCTATCCTTTCTTTCTAGTCAGCTTATTAAATGCTCCTTTTTCTGCCCTGCTCCTTGAAAAATCTCTTCCTCAACCTTTCCTTTTAACTAGCCTCTCCACTGCCTCTGCCTAGGTCCATTTCAACGTTGTCCAGCTAAACAGACATTTGCAGTTTAGAAAACATGGCAGTAATTAGAGAACTTTGTATGGCACAATCGACAGTATTTTGTCCCTCAAAAAGTTAGCTCTTTTTCTCTGTATCACACTTTCTGTTTTCCTCCCCATCATGCCCCTACACTGCCTTTGCTTTCACTTTGATCGCTTGTGTGACTCTGAGCATGTTGACAGCAAGCCAGAGGGCCAAACCTGTCACATCATCCCCTGTGGAATCAATCATCTAACCCAGGATCAATACCAAAGAACCATATCCTCAACTGAATACCGACTCAGCTGACAGCAACGGACTATTCAAAAACAACATTCAAAGCAGTCCACACAACCACTTAGCATACACCACTGCACAAACACAGATTCGCAAACACACTCACACTCAGACACAGTCTCAGCTACTCTGAAACCAATGCATACAAATATATTTGCAGGTTGTGTATGAGAATGCTTCAGAGATGCTTCACAGGGAGCAATGTTCGTGATTCAAATACGTCTTTCCCAGCATGTCATCTAGCTTTTCTCAGTGTCACTAAGACTGATATCAGTTTCAAACTCACTCACTCACTGTCTGCCTCCAATTAATCAGTTTTTACTGCAGAGGTCTGATTATGGACCCATTTATTGAGTCTATATTATACAGCAGCACAACATAGGATCACTCTATCCATCATCGAGCAGACCTCTGTAGGGGAATTTACCACTTATCAGCCCACTACAAGCGAATTAGACAGACATAATAGGGCTGAGCAGAGGCAGGGGGTTGAATGAGGCTAGTGCACAGTATGCGATCATCGATGTGTGGTACACTTTAAAGGAACAATACTGATAAAATGATGTGTCCCCGGTAGCCATTTAAAATCTGGTGAAAATCATTTACGAATAGAGAAGGAATTGGGTAAAAAGTGACACATTAATGACAGAGTTCTGGAAGGGCTTCCAGTTTTATCAGCTACAAACGTACAATATCACTTTTCCTTTAGCAGACAGCTGACATCGCCCGTGACATTAATATGTCTAGGACTCATCTTTCTCTCTATTCAGCACCAACACCTAGTGAGCTGTGAACAGTCAACTCATTTCAGTTTGCAATATAGCTTTTGGACATGGGATGTTCATTGGAATGTCAAAACCAAAATCCCCTCACATCGCACACCAGGCTCAAGATATTTTAATCTCTGTGAGACTGACTTGAAGTGACCTTTACCATCAGTGTATAAATACAAAAATCGGTGCCACTTGTGCTGATTGTAATAAGATGATATCTGACTCGTGTCCACTGCGCTGATTGCAATGTTAGTGTAGGTGAGCATAGCAGGACTAAAATCATATGTTATAATATCAGCATCAAACAGCTACGTCGCTTCTTTGATCTCAACAGAAAATAGGCCACACAGAGAAGACTACCTGACAAGCTAAACACAAAAATAAATCCTAACTAAGGCAGCTGACGATTTTAAGTTAGGCTTATTCTTTCATTTTGAAATCTATTGACAAAGAAATTCATAAGAGAATCGGGCAACTATGAAAAATTCATGAAACTGTCAGTTTGATGCAACTAAAAAAAGGCTTCATCAGAACATGTGTCTTTATTGCAGTAAACCGAATAAATGCTCACAAACCCATTATGTCCTTTACTGTTTGGCTAATGCTTTTATTCTAAGTGCTTTACTGGATTGTCCCACAGGAAATGGAACATTACCCTTTCTGTATTACTGTGATCAAACCTTTAGTGCAAAGAGCACCCTCACTGGCCATAAAGTACAGTAGAAGCAGTCTGGTACAGTTGCTGAGCTAGAATTACTTACTGTAGCATAGACCTTTTAACTTGATCACTACTGTTAAGTAAGAAGCAACGAATGTTTTAGAGGGATTTTGAAGGATTTCACTCAGAATGTATATGTGTATTTGTGATTCGCTCTTTACACAGCATGAAGTCTGCTGTTTGTTAGTAACTCAGTGCTGAAAACTGTTAATGGAAAAAATGATGCACCTTGTCTCTGGAAGAGCTGGCTGCTGACAATTTCAGTCATAGAGGCCACCTTCTGTTTCTGGAGTTTCTCAGGAGGAATGCAGGAGTAAAAGTCATGCAGCAACTGACTGCGGAGAGAAAATGACACAGAGGAAAATGAATAATCATAAAAGATTATCACATGGGGAACAGCAACTGGACACACAAAATATTCAGAAATTATATTTTTACACATTTTATACATCTCACCAAGCATTACTAATTCACACAATGTAACTGCTTCAAAGATCAAAAGCAAAACCATCCCTGGTTTAGACACATCACCTTTAACATATAAAATATGCAACCACTAGAAGCAGCAGTTGTATCACAGGGAAGAGCAGTGTATGCCGCATGGAAAACAAATGAGCTAAAGTCTGCACACATCTTAATGAAGACATGGGTTTGACTTATCCTCTGCCCCAAATTCAATTTTGGAATAATTAAATGGGCTGGTTGCAAGCCCTGACGCCACTTAGAAAGATTGAACGCTCAGAACATGGCAAACCCTCGGTCTCAATTTTTTGTCTGTATCTCACTTTGTCTCTGTCTCCTTGAATTATGCCACACAGGCTGCTGCAGCACTTTCAATAATGGCATAAAAGAAGAAAATGCAAACCTTCTGCTCCCAAACTAAACATAACACAAAGGTCCCTTATGACTTTTAATGTCCCCCAAGCTGGCACAGGAGCAGGCTCGAGTACAGAGGATCAGTGAAGTCCACTAATCATCTGGGCTGAGTCTAATTAAAATCCAAAATGTCACTACATACTCTGTGGAGATGCTGCAGATACCCTGAGTAACAAAACACATCCTTAGCAGACAATGTCTTCACTAGTACCACTGCACAGATCACACTACAGGTGCGTTTACAAGGTGTAGAAATGTAACTATACAGGACACGATACAAAGCTTTGATGTCCACCTCGAGCAGCGTAATTGTAATTCACATGGCCTGTTTGTGGAAACTCTGCTCGAGGCGATCCTGATCAGGAATGCAAAGGGGACTTTACTTTCAAGTTCAGATGGCTGCGATATGTTTGTGGATATGTGTGTAAAGAATTGCACAAGACAGAATATAAAGGGTGAGTGAAGGGGTTTGGGATTGGGAGATAAAAAAAGGAAATGAATGACAAAAGACAGAATATGATAATATATGCCCTGACTTTTAACTCTGCCTCAACACTCATCTTCGTGTGTGAGGCAGGTGTTTAAGGTAGCACCTCTGTGACACTGTGTTGACATCGAGCCACTAGAGGGACTGAACTGGCAGATGCAGACAGTCCACGAGCTCAGACACGGACACACAAAACCCCACAGGTCACAGAAAGGTGAAAAGACAATATATGAGGATGGGAAGGTTTAAAAACTGAATGTGGCAAGACAAGAAAACATACTAACTGGTGAAGTATGCACACTGATTGTATGTTTCAGTTGGGTCAAGGAAAGGTTATGCCAGTCTTTCTAAGTCATTTTGTTCTTCAGGACTCTGAGAATAAAAGAGAAGGGGTTCAAATGGCTTTTGTTTGATGGTTCTGCTAAAATTGTCATTTCACTCAGGGGCACATAGAGGAGAAGCAGAGTGTGTTGGAGTGTTTGTCCTTGTGTCCACGTCAGTTTGATGGGATTTTTATCACCTGATAAAGGAGGTAAGGTTTAACCACGATGGAATATGGGAGGAAATAGAAGAATAAGGGTCACTGAATAAAGCCAAGTGGGAAACGTGAGGTGAAAAAACTCATATATTCTCTCTGTAGGTGTGAACGAACAAGACCAAAGATAAAGTGCTAGTGTGTGCATATCTCTCTGTTTGTGAGTTTAAGGATAAGCTTACCTGAGAAGCTTGGCATCAAATACTTTCTCCACATCTTGCAGGACTGTTGGCAGGTACTTCAGAGCAGCAACCTAACAACACACACATGCACACACACAACACGCAACAAGTAAATAGTGTTAAATTACTGTCTTGAAACCCTGTGCAAGGTGACTTTGCCATCAAACAGGCATTCTCCACATGTGTTTAAAGGGGGTGTTTCATTTTTCACTGGGCTCTTGTCTTTCTACCTAACTTTTTCTGATGTTTTCTGTTTGTATGTCTGTGTACGTGTAGGCACAGAGAATAAGAGGAAAACACTAAGCAGCAGAATACTGATGCAGTCAAAAACAGACTTTGAGAAGTGGGAGCATGAGGCGAAGGTGAGACATAGTGAGACAGGACGTCTAGCAAAACAGAAGGAGCGGAAAAAGGGTTCGGATAAAGATGAAAAGTATATAAAAACAATGTAATGAGGTGCACTAGGTTGTGAAGCGTGGATGCAGGGTGAGTGTATGTGATTACCCTGAGCAACAGTGTGGTGGTGTAGTCTGTTCTCATCAGATTGTTGATTGACTCAAAAAGCCTCCTCAGCGACTCCTCAAACTCTTCCTGCTCCTTCCCCTCGTACAGCCTAGAAGCGCAGAAAAACGTGAAAAGAGAAGACGGGAGACCGTGTCAGTAATTACAGAGGAATATGAATAGTGAACAGGTTATAAAAGAAACAATACGGATTAAAACAGCAGAAAATAAACAAGTGTACTAAATAATCAATGAGAGTGAGAATGGTCAAAAAGGGCAAAAAAGACGCAATAAGTCTCATTTATAATTGATACATATGCATACTGATACATATATCAGTTTGTACTATAAATGATTAATTCGATAAACAGAGACTGGTGGATAATTATTTCAAGGTTTTATTCACAATATTTTATGTTATTCTATTTTCTTTCTCTTTGCAAACCAATAGATCCCCTTGCATAAGCAGCTGAGACACGCACTTCTAGAAGTAATATGATCACAAGATGTCAGGCCATGTGTAGCTCATTCATAGGTCATTCATAAGGATGCGTGCCATAGTCAGACACTTCAAAGAGGAATGTTGTCCTCTACTAAATAATGCCTGCTGTACTTGAATGATTTTTCTGTAAATGGACTGGAGTACTTTTCTACTCTGAATGAGCACTCAAAGCCTCATTCACCCAGTCACACACACATACATATCTAAACCTAATCACCTTATCCAACATTCACACACACTCTTCACACACACTCTTCAGTAAATGCATAAGGGAAAGTCAGGGGTCAGTATGATGCCCAGAAGCAAAATGGAAGAACTGGGAATCAGACCTTCAACCTTCTAAACAGTAGACAACCCGCTTTACCTCCTGAGCCAAAGCCAAACTAAAAAATCAGCCCAAATTAATTTAGTGGGTAAAAAAGTCCACATCTCCTCAAATCCTAAATCTACTGTTATTGCAGCTCCACAACAACCTTAGTTCTTAAGTAGCCAATTTTATACCGCTGATAAGTTTTAGTGGCTTTCCTAAAAACAACCAGTGTTTCTCTTCACAGTTTAAACTGATTCCAGGCTTGTAATGAAAGGTTTGTTAAGTTATCTTCATCTTTTCTGTGCTGCCATTCTTTATATGAAATCAAAGTCACTTAGCACAGAGTGACACTGCATCTGAATTTTTTTGATTTTCTGGATATGGGGTATAAACTAAACTGGCTACAGTTCCTCGTATCTTCTTTCTGTAACAGGAGTGCACTTTAAACCCTAAGTCAATCATTTATTTAGCATACGAAGCTGTAAAACCCACGAAAAACTGCCTAGGTAATTACACAGCAAAGCAATATCTTTGATTTAATGTCCTATATTCAATTGTAGTAATGGAGAAAAAACAATGCAGCATTACACTAACAAAATGAAGCCAGTTTTTGCAACTGAACACTGATAAGCACTGACTGTTGTAACTACAGCATCCTGTCACAAGAAAAGGCTGGCTGATTGTGTTGCTTCTAACATCCCCTCAGGTCTACGGGCTAGCGCATTAGCAAACTTTATTGCCATCCATCTCTCCACCCATTTCCTTCCTCCTTCTCCTCACTGTGTTTGAGCGATTCAATTGCACTGTGCAGTTTTTAATTACAATGGAAGTTATGAGTGCTGGGGGGAAGGATTAGCATGTGGCACACAGCAAATTTAGCATGTGGAAGGATGGATTAGGCAGTAACACACAGAGGTATTATCACTGGGCTCTTTGCAGAGTACAGTTATGATTACACACGCATTGTCCTGCTAATCCACCAGCCCTGTCTGTGCGTGAGTGTTTCTGTGTGTGTGGGGGTGTGTATGTGTGTGTCTGTGCACACCTGCGTGGGTGTTATCTACAGTTGATGTGTTAGTGCTGCTATGCTAAGACTGGATTGTGCACTCATACCACAAATACGCACTTCTCCTGCATTTTACACAATAGATGATCACTTTACTCTTAACCTAAATTTTATTTGCTCACGAAGCGTACACTAACACAAAATTATGTAAATTTAAGAAAGGAGTGAGCGGCAGAGAAGAAGTCTGATTAAAAGAGGGGCTGAAGAGCAACTCAGCTGCAGATATTGTAGTTGTAAAAATAATGTCTTCAAGACACCAGTAAACATGACATATGAATTTCTAGTCATAAATATCTCCCTGTTCTGATTCGTAATTTTAATCGGCTTCCCTGGAGTCGAAGTGCTCATTGCTGCAATATTTTGACTGAAATGAGAATAACCAAAACCTCTAAGATGCATCACCAATGAGCGTAACTGTAAAAAATCCTCTGATTATTGTTTGGTCTGTAACGCTTGAAATGTTTCAATCTGATCGATGGAACAGAGTCCCAAGGTACGCATCAATGTGACCCTGAATTTTAGTTGGGAACTATTTTTCCTGTAATTAGTCTTTTACTGTCAAAGTACTATCCTTTTCTGCCTGCTTTTATATTAAATAATAAGATGTGTTAACAATAAGATAACAAAATTCAAAAGCTCAGACACAGACTTGTTTCACAGCAACCATTTTCCGGTGAACTGGTAAGTAAACACAGGTGTTACTAATGACATTAAAGTTCTATTTAATTTAGATGCAGAGGATTAATGTGATTAGTAACACCTGTGTTTACCTTCTTTGTAATATAAAAATGGCTGCTGTGAAACAAATCTATTGTCATAACTAGAAAACACTGAGCTGATAATAAAATGATCATCTAATAATTTTTTTATCACATTAATAAGAATAAGTCTTCATATTAGAAAACATTCTTTTTCATGTGATATAATTACATGCAGTTTACTTGAGGTGAACATATTAAAGAGGACTGTGAGAGCGATTAACTAGACACCAGAGAAATTACAAGCTTGAAGCTTGGAGGACAAAAAGAAGCAAAATTTAGAATTGCTTGCCTTACATATTTCTGAAGTACACATTACACATTCATAATAGATTTTGAACACGAAGCTGGTTTGACAACCTAATAAATCTTCAATGCCACCTATTTAACTATTAATGACTGCTAGTCTTCATGGTGACGGTGATGAAGCCTTACAGATGCATCTACAGCACGGTGGCTCCCCTGAATATGTGATTTTCTCTCTGCGTGACAAGGCCTTAGAGTAGAGGAGAAATCTGATGTGAAAACTTTAGATGCAGAGGAAGCTGAAACTGTCAGCAGCAGGTAGTTGGTAGACAAAGAGACAGAAAAGGAGAGAGAGAAGCCGAGAAGAAGAGTGAGATTTATCGCTTTAGAAACACCCAGGGGATGCTGGTGACTGAAGCTCAGTCAGTCTAGGACCAGTGATGAGATAATGTCATGCACACACAAAAGCATCTACTTAGAAGAATGCTTAAATGTCTGCTTAAAATGTCTGTGTGAACACACATGCACATACATAAACACAAAGAAAAGCACAAAAAGACAAACCTGCAGAAAAATCTGAACTCACTGACAGAGAAATCTGCCATTTTCTAATTCTATCATTCTGAGACACTGGATCTTGCCATTTTTTATAATAGCATTTTGTAACACCTTGCTAAATAGGCATATGTATCTCCATTTTTATTTGTAGACTGTATATTAAAATGGGCATAGTTTCAGGTTCTAAAAATACTCGTGACTGCCAGTGCTGACCCTCAGCTTCCTAGTACACACACAAATGGTATCCAAAATCCTATGTCGCCTCGTTTTCAAGTTATCACGTTCACAAGATTTTCAGAAAACCTGACCTCTGACCTTGACTTTGAGGTCAATGTCATTGTTGTGACATTGTTGTGACTCTCAGTGACCTCTGACCTTGAAGTCATGGTCACTAAGATTCAAACTTATTCATTTACAAGCTCCACTTAATCTTAAGGTCTCATTGTTGCCTCATTCTCAAGCTCTCACATTCACAAACTTAGATTTCCATCTTCTAAAAACATGGGAATCCAGATCAGAATGGGCAAGGTATACCAATATAATTTCATGAGAATGCTGGAACAAACAAAATCTGACCTTAAAAGTTTGATGGACTTGCCCTTGTCCCCAACTGGCAGAGTAAACTCAGTATAATCAATTTATTATCCGAATTTATATATCTCTTCCCATTTCCAGTTTCTCATCAAATAAACAAACAATCAAAAGCCCCTGATGCCCTTTAGAAGATTAAAAAGACACACTGTCACTGATCAGGTGGCACACACGCACACACACACACACACACACACACACACACGCGCACACACACACACACACACACACACACACACATCCCCTCAAAACTAATTTCTATAAACATTCATACAGAATTCTACAGGGTTGTGTCCTATGTACCTACATCCAGTGGCATCAACACAAAGTCACTCAAGTTACCCACAGGCAGGGAACATCATGTTTCTGGATCATCTGTCTGATCTCTCAGCAACAACTTTTTCACTAGTTATAAATGGTGTTTACACTCGTCATATGGTGCAGCCCTGGGCTCAGCACAGTGGGTGTCTCTCTTGCTGGAACTTTTCTGGCCATGTTGGCTGCCCATTCAGCAGTCCTGCCCTGACATTAGCTAGATCATTTGGTTGCTGCACTTCATCATCAATGCTTATTAGCACCTTTAGTGCTGTAATCAGCAGGCCTTTCTCACAGAGCTGTCAAAAACAATTACTTTGGCAATGCAGAGTCACTGGGTTCTGTGTGTGTTCAAGAATCTCTATTTGCATTGTCGAGGATCCAAAAACAAAACAGAAAAAAAAGTACTCACTGCGAGTAGAGCATGCGTGAACGAACAATAAACTTGAAGATATACTCGAGGGCTTTGAGGGTTCGGAGTATGGGCTCACACTGTTCTCCTCGACTGGACACATCTAGATACCTCTTCAACACCGACATCAGCTTTCTGGGGAAGAAAGATACGGGGGAGGAATCAGGAAGGAGGTGCAGGATGGGGGAGAAAGGAGACAATCAAAATCATTCAGACAAAATTGTCATTCCTTTTCTGATGTTGCACAGGTTGGAAAGTTAATCACCAACTCCATTTTTCACTTCCATAGAGCAGAAAGACGGAGTGCAATAGAGTGAGAGCAAAAGAACCAGAGAGAAAAACTGTCAGAGAGGTGGCTGTGGAAAAATAGCAAAATAGTATTTCACACCTGAACAGATGTACCTTTCACACAGCTCACAGACATTTTTATTTGCCCTCAGATGCATGGTGAAGAAATCATTCTCCAACACATGCACACCCTGCAGGCGTCTTTAGACACACACATAAATATTCTGCTGTGCCAACGCAGTTGGAGAGAGGTTTGGGTAGCACAAAGTTCAGTCTAAGTTTACAACCTACCAGAATCTTCCTCTTTAACCTTCCTGTGTCGCAATATTATACAACACTAGAACATTTGTACAGTAGCTATATAGCCTTTTGGTTTTGTGATAGCTCAATTTCCATGAAGTGGCAACAGCGGATCGCTCGCTAAGAACGACCACTTTAAAACTACACAATCCTCTTAAACAATAAAAGTCCTTTTAAAACTTGACTCCAATCTGGCCTCACTGCCATTAGAGTGGACTTGAAAATACTTCCAATGTAATTACTAGTCAGTGATCCCTAGTTTTGTTTTGGTGCAGTAGCTTAAAGGCAAGTACAGGAGGATTTATTCCATCTGAGAGCAGTTTAAAATATGGTGAGAGCAAGTTAGACAGTTTTACATAATAGCCTCTGGGCTGACAGGCGATAAGCTGCAGCGACCCTCTTAGAGGGTGAATGCCAACATACTAACGGGAGAGGGATGGAGTTATGATAGAGCACATATGAAACAATGAAATTAGAGGTGAGGGAAATAACCATCTTGTCCACCAAGGTGAACCCAGTGTACAGGCACCAGGGAAATACAAGTATAGCCATCCCTGTCTACTGCCTCAGAAATCCAGAGTGGAAATCAGCCTTCCATCCCTTATCAAGGGGAAACTGATTTCAGACCCTCAGCTAGGGGACCCTGTTTCTCGACCTCACAGACTAATATGGGCTCCTTCCCCTCCATACAGGTGACGTTCCATGTCCCTTTAGCCAGATTTGTCAAGCATTGGACGATCAGAGGGATCGCCAGGGCCTCTGCCCGGAAACACTAAGGACGTTTTCTTTGTCTGAAGTGGAAATGCTGATAATTAGTCTATTTTCATCTATTATGAGTGTACAGTTTTTGAGTTTGCGTACTGCAAAATAAACTCAATAAATACACCATGTATAAGACCACTTCATTATAACGTGATATTTTGCCGGCCATGCGGGACATGCTGGAATGTAATATTCTCATCAGTCCTACGTGTCGCTGCCTCATTTACAGCATCTTTTCAATAAGAGTGGCATTTCCTATTTTATTCTTAAATGCGTGACATTTTACAGTGATTATGTGGAATATAAACTCATTTACCTCAGATTAATGTGATTACATAAGGGGTTTTCATCACCATATTTATTTCTATTGTCATTATACAAGTAAACAAAAACCCACACCATCGGCCTCTGGCTGCATCCTGTCACTCAGCACCGTTCAGACAAAAGCTCACATTTCCTGGAAAAGCCTGTCTCTATTTACTGAGCTCTTGTTGTCATGTGTCACTGTGAGCTGTTGAGACCAGGAATCTGACTAACCAAGAGTGAAGTTATTAATCACTGCACCATGCGGTTTAGATTCAATTCACCAAATCATTCAGCAACTTCCTTTGCTGCTCCAGTAAATGGGATGTGTTGTTAAAAAGTGTATCTTACTCTTTCTGGAGTGACATGACAGTAAGAGGAAATAATGGAAAGATAATGGAAATAACCTACTTGTAAGCCAGCGTAGCACTGAAATGTTGCTTGATGTAGGCCTCCAGCACTGTGTTGAAGTGCTGGAATTTTCTGTCAGCGATGAGCCCGATGATGTGTATCTGCCAGACATAGTAAGAGAAGAGAGACTATGAGAGTTTGTTAAACGCTTACAAAGCAGTAAAACATTTAAAAGGCAGATGAGAATTTTTGTATGATCATCTGACAGTCGTGTTTATTTGGGAAAAGATGGACGGTTAGATACAAAGATGTCAAGACCCGCTGAACGCAGAGATAGCCTGTCAAGATATCTGCTACATGTGTTGACAACGCAAGCATGCAAAGTCAGACTCACAAAAACCACACACTCACCAAGGCATCAAACACAAGAATGTCATAGTCATCAGTCTGAGAGTGTTCCATCATAATGTTGAACAAGGCATCCAGAGTGTCCTGCAGAAACTACATACACATGTACAGAAAAAAAAGGGAGAAGCAGTCAAAGTACACACACACTAGTCTACACGCTTATTGAATGGCACACTTGTATTCACACCACTGACCTTGACCACCTCCTCTCCATCAATGATTTTTAGCTTCTCCAAGTTTTCTTTGAGGAGCTCAGGTCGAGTCCTCCACTTGAGCAGACCCAAAAGCCCCACTACACAGACGAGAAAACAAAGGATTTTTGATGTTCAGGTGGAAGTTGAGGTTACTCAACTATAATGTAAATGCCATTTCAATTAACAGCATAATTAAAAAAGAGAGAGATTCTCCTTGGTATTGCGCAGAATTCAGTATTAATTTCATGTGAAATATAGTAAGCTGATTTTTTCTGCGCTGCATTAAAATTAGAGTTGAAACAATAAATGATTTAATTAGTTACACTAATTAACTGACAGCACTGAAGTTCAGCAATTTGCTGTTTTCCCTGTTTTAAACCACTGTAAATGTAATCAACCGGGTTTTAAATATACAATAATAAATATAAAGTGTATGCTTCCTGGGCAATATACATTTAATTCTAGAGTCTCAAGTTCATTTCCATCTGCCAATAAAGTGGAGATTTGTCAAGTAATGATTGTTATATGGACAGTGCCCATCCCTCTGGGACTTTCAAATCCACAGTCTGTGTCATTAATTCTGCTTCAGTTTGACACGGGGCAGATTTCCATGTCTCTGTAGTGCTGCCCACGTAAGGCTCACTGCTTTCCCTGACCGGTAATTTCTGACTCACCGGGCCAAGCCGCACATCTGGTGGGTGGCCCTGAACAACATTGTGTGCATGCATGCTTAAAAGCCTTTGTGTGTGTAAGTGTGTGCATGTGTGTGTCTGTGTGCACGTGGTACAGGTGATTAATACAGCAGGATAATGTTCATTATAGTGATGGACTGACTTCCTCAGTAACAGCTGTTGAACTCCACCTGTCTCTGATGCACCTTACTGTCTGGGGTGAACGTGCTTTTTGCATTAGATGTAGATGTGCATTTCACTCTGTATGTGTGTGTGTGTGTGTGTGTGTGTGTGTGTGTGTGTGTGTGTGTGTGTGTGTGTGTGTGTGTGTGTGTGTCTGGCCTGTGGGGCTGCCTGAGTGTGTAGGACAAAATGATGACATTCCCTGCTAATAAAATCCATGTATATACACAGCCTGCCCTCCATCCCTTGCTTATTATTCCATGACCACAAAACATATAGTCTAATTAAGATTCTGTTGACTCACCATTAATTGGTTAGAGGTTGTCTTTCCACTAATTTGACCTCACCTCAACCTTTAACTCTAAACCTAAAAATAACACAGTCTTAGCACGTCAGTAAAATGTTGATTGCATTTCACCACAAGTTTGTTGTTTTCAAGGGAAACATTTGAATCCAGCTCAATACATGAGGCCACATCCGACCAGTATTTCTTACAGACTTGTAAGGAGTGGATTTGTCCTCTACTAATTTCACAGCCAACCGATGATTCATTGTCTTTGCCTGGCCTTATTAGTCTGTTGAAAGAAGTTGTTAATTAATGTTTTTTTTTCTTTTTTTGGATGTGTCAGGCTTGATTTCAAGCACCCTCCTCCACATAAAGGTCTGCTTTTGACCTTTTGTCATCTATTGTGTTTTCATGGCCGTTTCTGTGTAAAAATCGTTTGCCCTGCCAAGCCTCTAGCGTGCTAACGTCGCCACAATATCAGGCTTGCACGTACCGTTTTGGGTGAGTTTAGTGGAGCAGACCAGGGTGGAGATGGTGAAGCTGTCTCTAGAGCTTACAGACAGGCCTCCTCCTCCCCCAGACACGCTGCTTGAGCTGCGGCTCAGTGTGGACATCTTGTGGGGGTCACTGTGATGGTTGCGGGTTGAGGGCAAAGACAAGTAGGAGTTCACGTCTTCCATGCGCTTGCTGTCACCCTAAAAGCACAAAGTCATTTTTAACAAAATGCTGTGGATACCATTAGTGCGACAAAGCTGTCATAGATGTATAGAAATTGTCTCAGCTTACAAGACGTCTTGATGTAAATGAAAAACTGATCGATTTGATACATTTGTAAGATTTGTAAAGCGTAATCCTATGTTTTGCCTAAGCCTTATTTACTTCTGCCTTAATTTTTGTGAACTCATAGTTTTGGATACAGCTGTGTCAGACAAGTTAGAAAGATAGAAGCTTTGACAAAAACAGAACACCGTTAATTTGTCACATCAACATCAACGGTTCTTCTAGGTTGATTGCTTCAGGGTGGCAGGTAGTGGGTAGTGGTAGCAGTGGGACAGCTCTGGCACGGCAGAGGTGAGGGCATCAGTGAATGTCATATTTTCAACTCAGCACCCTCAACTCTGTCCTCATTCATGCCACATCAGTAAATAATGAGTGAGTGGCTGGAAAAATTGGAGAGTAAGAGAGTGAAGCCATGAGCGGCGCAGAGATCGAGAGGAATGCAGGGATAACGAGAGATAATCGAGAAAGAGGGCACAGAGGGACCATCCATTTGGTCTTTGAGTGAATCACGAGTAATTAATCTTCATTGGGTTTGGCATTTAATCAATATGGGGATTCAATCTTAGCTTGGGCTCATTTGGCAGGAAATCTATTTGGCTTCACTCAACCTGTCTGGGTGGCCATAACCTCTTATCTATACTCGCTACATGTTTAGGTCAGTTTTGATGATTGTTGCATTTAAACATACATTGTTAGACGTTTTCCCCGATGCAATCATCTTTCAAACTTATTTGTAGATTATCTACCATACAGTATTTTCGACAAGTGGCTGTGCACATTTTCACCACTTTTGTTTGACCTTCATATTGTAAACATAAATTCATCATGAAAGGATCATTCTTTGTTTGTTATTATGTGTTCTTAGGTCTATATGCGCTATTCTCTAAACTGGAAAACGAGGATGATGGTATTTCCTTTTGAGAGGATACTGAGTCCATTCATTAGTTCGTCTTTCTTTATCCAAAAGTTCTGCCGCTGGTTCTGACCTTGAAGACCACAAGTTCATGCAGTCCGTCCTGCAGAACAGTCCCATCATCCTTCATTAGACGCACAAAAGCCATAGCGAAGTTCTTCTCACTCTTATCCTTGGCTGCAAATTAAGGAGAACGATAAGTAAACAAAACTAGAAATGGCCAGGGGAAAAACACATCAGGGAAATAGAGAAAGAGAGGAAGGAGTTCACACGGCACGCGAATTCACACGCAGAAGAAAGAAAAAGTGCTCATTTGTTTAATCAAGTATGTGTAATGATGCCTTGGCTCATTTTCCAAATAGGTTAGACTCATTCTGTCCTTTCAGTGTCACATTATACTCAGGGGATCAGAGAGGAGGAGTTAAGAGTGATGATCTAATGAAGAATGCAGACAAGTAGAGAGAGACAGAGGGTGATACTTACACTCCTGGGAAGAGCGATGTCTGAACATAAAGCGTAAATGAATTCTGTGCATTTCTTCCAGGGGGACTGCCACCTGGAGGATATCTCACGTTATTGTAGAATATAATAAAACTGATATCCTAAACACATACTGACAGTATGATGTGATTTCTTGCCTTGAACATTAGAAATCACGAATGCAAATGCATTATATCAAGACAACGGAACGAAGAGACTAGTAGATAAGGAAATAAAACACACACACCTTAAACGTCTCCATCCAGCGGGGCTGTTTGACTTGGTAGTAGATGACAGATCTGTACTCACTGACTGCCTTATCCCCTGCTCCCAGACAGATGGAGTTCTAGGAAAAAGAGAGGTAAAGAAAAATACGCCTCACAGTGACTGTGAAGAATTTATGTTTGTGTGTGCATCCATGTATGCCTAAGATGGATTTGCCTTCTGGGATAAATCCGTATCCATTTGCCCTGACTATGAGAGGGTGAGTAAGTGTTTCATCAGTGCCGTGCTTGCTCAATGACCTACACCACCTCAATCATTTAATACACAACATATACTTTTGCACCCGCACACTTTATCTATACCCTAGACACACACAAACCAATCACAGTTCATAGAAATCCCTCTCCTCTTTGAATCCATTGATATGCTCTGTCCCTGTTATTTCACATTTCCTCACCTGTATGACTTTGCCCTCCTCATCACAGACCCACATGATGACCTCTACGTTTTTCTGGGTTGTCTTGTTGTATTTGTCGAAGTCTCCGCCCTGTAAGGTGAGGTAGATGTCATTGCGAACATCTCCAGGCATAATGATCTCTGGGAAGCCAAGCTTCCGGGCTACCACGGTGCTGCGGTCCACGAGGTGAGGGTATTCCTTCCGAATCTGCACAATGTCCCCCACCAGAGCCTTCATGGTGACCCACAGCCCTATGGATAAGAGAATGAAGAAGACTATGTATTAGAGATGGAGGAAGAGAATGTACTACTGAAAAAAAAAAAAAAGATGCGATAATGACTTTATATACGTTTTTTCCTTATACATATTATTCTTCTGCACTACATAAAGTGTGATGCAGAGTTGTGGTTGTGTTGGTTAAAAGAAGCTAGGAAGAGGCTTTTCAAGCTTATATCTGGTCACATTTCTAGTTAAAGCCATGAGATTTATATTTTGTGTAGAGCTGCCATGGGTATGCTTTGTTGGGAACCCTGAAGCACATATGAAATCTTCCTATTCTGGCTTTGGAAATCTTAATGCCGGTAAATCTGAGCAGGTCTCAGGTGACCAGCCCCGTCCTCAGTTGCCTCACATGTTTCGCTGGCTCCATTCTCAACTGCAAGACCCAAACCCAGCTCCAAGCCCAGCTTTGTGGCAGCTGTGGCTAGAAAATCAGTGGATGCGCCAGCTTCTCCAGTCTGCATACTGAAGTATGTTTGATCAAGACACTGAACCCAGAGTTGCCTCTGATGCATCAGAGTGTGAGTTCGTGTGAAAATGGTATAGAAAAAAAGTTCTTTGAATGTATGTGAATGAGCACTGTAGCAAAAAGTGGTTTGAGCACACAGTTAGAGTAAGGGTACGCATTATATACCAGTCAGTTTATGGTATCATAAAACTTTTTATGCTTATTCTTCAAGCATACATGCGTTTCTGTAAAATGCAACAGACCAGAAAGAGAAAGATGCACAGATAAGATTTGGCCTGCAGGACCATCTATCATATAAAACAACCTGTGTAAAAACAGTGTATTTTAATGGGCACGAGCATAAACTGAATATTTTAAAGAACTTTGCAAGACCAAACCTTAGCAAATTTAAGAGCGTTTGCATGTAAATACAGGCACCACTCAAGTCTTCTTTAAACGAGGGATCGCAAAACGAGTGTTCATTTATTTCTCTGTGGGAATGTAAATTCAAATGGAAGCCAAATAAATGAAAATAACTTCAAGGACCTGTAGTATTAAAACTGAATTTAAAAAAAACTTTAAGATGTTTTCAGGACCAACAGAAACCCTGAAACATGAGGCCTGAGGGCTGAACTTAATGGATGCTTTATTTTATGTAAAAGGTTACTGGTTATTTATGGGAAACATGATATTAAAATGAACTGAGGATGTGCTGGCATTGCAGACAAGACTGCAATAAATGCTGGAAAATTGCTGTGTCCCATTTAGGAAATGGGAGCAAAGGGGGAAAAGAAAAGATGGAGGTATTATTATTATCAACAGAATTTACTTCTAAAGAAAATGGACTCTCAGAGGGTTTCAGAGAAATTAGGTGAAAAAGCAAAGAAAAGGAATTGGGAATCAAAAGGGGAAAAAGAGGTGAGCTATTTTAGGGAAATACATAGGTGGTGAAATCTAGACTGTGTTACAAACCTACATTTTCAAGGATAACCACAGACCTACAGGGAAAACACTCAATGTGTTTTGTGTGTGTGTGTGTGTGTGTGTGTCTGGACAGTAGCAAAAGCACCTAAAAGAGAGGAAGGAGAGATTAGGGGTGAGTAATGTTAAGAGCAGGCATCTGGTGGCCTCAAGTGTTCCTTCCATATCTGCTTGTTCAAGTGCTCCTTTCATTTTCCAGGTTATGCCCAGGGCCTTCAGGAGTGAGAGGAGGATAAAAGCTGAGCGATATGACAGTGCAGTCGGATATGCGGGGTTACTCTATGTGGAACAAGACAGTGTCACCCATAGGGGTTGTCAAAGTCTGCCATAAACATGAGGTAGTGAGCAGCAAGACTAGAGTCTGGTCAGGGAGAAATGGAGGTTAAGTAATATGAAAACACCAGCTCAAGGGTGGGTGCCATACATCAGGATAATGTCCTTCATTCTCCACCCTAGTGCAGAGAAAAGAGGCGAGGATGCAATGAAGAACTGCCATTTTATCTAACCACAAATGACTGGAGCATATACAGTCCAGTGGGAACCTTCAGTGCGTGCAGGACTTTTGCAAGAACTGCCACATGACTAGGAACAAAGAACAAAGCCTGGGATTGCAAAACTGTACCTTGACCACCACTGTCTCCTCGTGATGTTGTCACTTTGTTCAGTAAGGTGTGGAGAAAGTCATTTTCTGCAACTACCCTGGAGTCAAACATACAAACACAAAGAAAACATTCATATGCAGAAAATTACAGTACTGTTTTCTTAATTTTATAGGTAATAGATTTTCAGGTTTTTAATTGCTAAGAAAAGGTCAGAGAGAGGTGGAGTGGGAAAAAAAGAAACAAGAAACAGGACATACGGGAAAAAGGGGATGAAATACTGCTTCTCTTCATCGCATTCAATCTTCCCTTTGATGATATCACTGATGTCCATCACTGCCAAGAAGAGAAAACAAATGTGTCTGTGATGACAGAATCAAACAAGTACTAGGTTGTAATCCGTACTGAGGTTTCACATTAGCAAAACACCACATTAGAAAGACTGGCCTCCTCATTGCTCGTTGTGAAGTTACATGAGGATATAGGCAACTTAGAAGTGAGATTCCAAGAAGCCAAAAGTGTAAAAAAAAAAAGGGCTTTATAGTCACCATCAACATTTTAGCTTTGTACAAAGGATAGCTCCCAGGTGTAAGTATGTTCAATAATACCTGCAGCAGCACAAGCAGAAGCAAAACAATGTTGACCTTTAGAGCAGCGGGCCCCAACCCCCGGGCCTCGGACCGGTACCGGTCCGTGAGTCGTTTGGTACCGGGCCCCGAGAGTTGAGGCTCAGGTCTGAAATGTATGTTTTTCAGGGTTTTTATCGGTTTTCAGCGTTATTTTGTTATTCTTTTTATCGTTAACTCGGTTTTCCTGGGTCTTTTCACGTGTGTTATGAATAAATCATATTTTTTTCGGTACCGGTACTAGTTTTATTGTGTTGTATTTATCCGCGACACCTTAAAGGCCGGTCCGTGTTGTCGGGCATAAACTGGTCCGTGGCGCAAAAAAAGGTTGCTTTAGAGAACACAAGTAATAATGATTGAAGCACCTAACAAAAGTCATTATTGATGGTAAAACTGGTGGAATTTGGTAATGAAATGAGATGTGTTAGCCTTTTCTCCTGTGAATCGGATGAAAGCTTCTGTTGTTTTACGGGTGGCTGTAGCTCAGGTGGCAGAGCAGGTCAGCCACTAATCAGAAGGTCGGTGGTTCGATCCCAGGCTGCCTCCTGGCTGCATGCCAAATATCCTTGGGCAAGATACTAACCCCATGTTTGCCTATTGGTGGTGGTCAGAGGGCCCGGTGGCGCCAGTGTCCGGCAGCCTCGCCTCTGTCAGTGCGCCCCAGGGCAGCTGTGGCTACACTGTAGCTTGCCATTGCCAGTGTATGAATGGGTGAATGACTGAATGTAGTGCAAAGCGCTTTGGGGTCCTTAGTGACTGAGTAAAGCGCTATACAAATGCAGGCCATTTCCCATTTGACCCTCAACATTAATCAAAAAGACACGCTCAGTTACCTTGAGGTCACCAGTATGCTCACAAAGCATTTACAAAGCTACTTTTTAAAAAAAAAAAAGGGTTTTAACCCTGCACTTTTTAAATTCACAGACTTGCAGTCTTCTTCACTGCCTTCAAATTATGCAATAGTGTGTTTCCTGTTCACTATATCCGATGATTAGTGTTCAATATATCTGTTCATTAGTGCAAAAGTGTGTCATAATTTGAAGTCACGTATATGTAACAAAACTAAAATAAACATTGCTTATCGCTGAACTAGCAAACACTGACAATGAAGATTGCCAATGTACTTTTTCCACTCCTTGATCACTAGAGCTAGAAATTTAGTAGCATGTTGGAAAAAAAACCTCTGCATTGTCTCTTCATGACTTACCTGCAACCCCAAAAGGCCTCCTCAGGCCCTGAGTAAACTTCTTGTTGTTTGCTTCTTTTAGGTCCATCCTGCCTACTCTTACAATCTGACAGATCAAATAAATCTTCTCTCTGCTCAGGTCTTTGTTTCCCAAGTCCTGTTGAGCAAAGACAAAAACAATTGTGTATGAAATAAATTCAGAAATCAGGAATAAAGGAACAAACAAACAAACAAAAATGCTATGTAATCTTCTGAAAAGAAATAGGTCACCTATTTCATCTCTCCACAGCTAAGAACAGTGTGACATTGCCCTCGTGTGGTCACTTACTGTAAAGACAACCTTCAGGTTGTTGAGCATGTCAATCTCTTTAGGAAAACCTTTGCTGCCCCAGCGTACTAAGTAGTTCTCACTGTACAAAGAAGGGTAAAGAGTTACAAATAAATAAATACACAAATAAATAAACATTTTTAAATTAATTTTACATTGTAGCAAGCAACCACATAAAGATTATCTCATCATTCATAATTAAATTTTCAGACATACTCTACTAGCCAAAATGAAACTGTGCACTGCAGCCTGACTGATGCACATGATTCACAATGAAAACAGTTTCAGTGAAACTTAAGCTCAAATCTTTGATCCCCTTGCAAACAGCTGTAACTACTAAATCTACCCTGTGTAGCTACATAAACATGTAAGAGACACTTTAAGGGAGGAGAATAGAAAAGCGGACCCCAAGAAAACCTGTGGGTGCAGTAAGGTTAAAAAAATTAGAAAAACCTAATATCTTTCTAAAATATTGAACCCTACTGTTCTTCACTTTTTTTCAGGGAGATGTGGATAAACATACCTCTGCGAAAAAAAAAGGTTTTCAAAGAAAATAGTAAATTATTTAAGCACATAAGCACAGATGAGACAGAAGTGAATCAGAGATCACAGCCAATGCAAGAAAATACAAAAGAGTAGCTGTGGATAATATATGTTATAAGAATAAGATGACAGACTTGGGTCTATCTTAATACTTTCAGCTTCTGTGGCTGAGACATAGATATAGCCAGTATGACAGTGAGTGACAGGGCTTAACGTCAGCACTGTCAGGCACCACACAGTGCTGCCACTCAGTATGTGCGGCCCTATAATTTGTAGTTTCTGTATATTTATTTTTGGCATGCCGTTGTTCACATTTAACAGGGCTTAGCAATAGAAGAGAAACAATGGAGAGGTATACAGACACAAGAAGAAATAGAAAAAAGGTTTTGCATATATGTTTTATACAGCAGAACAATTGAGGTAAGGTTAAAAACAACAACAACAACAACGACATCTAAACAAACAAGGGATGTAATTTTTTAGCTGGAACTATGATGTTAATTTCCAAAGAAGAATCAATTACATAAGAAAAAAAATCGCCTTATCTTTCAGTCTGTATGTTTGTGATTTAACACAAAATAAAAAGTCACTTCCTTTCAGTGACACTGAAAAATATATAAGACCCGCAATAACTTTACTTCACAATGTGAAGCCAAATCTTCCTGAGCGTCTAATCCACCTGACAGGAACATATGTCTGAAACACCTTTAGGGAATACGGTAAGGAAAGAGAAGTGACACCTGATGATGGTTTGCTTATTGGGATCATAGAGGGACATGAAGAGCTCGGAGTCCTCTCCAATGCGACAGACAAAGTTCCTCACAAAGACGTAGAGGCTGTGGGTGGGGGAGGACTGGATCCGTGCTGAGATCCCGCTGTGGTCTGTCTGGATGTTGGACTGTGTGAGAGGAAATTAATTTTAAGAGATAACTACTGATGATGATTTAACAGGATAAAATTCCAACCAAAAGTGTTCATTTTGGCAAGGGTCTGATAAATGTGTTTGGCTGCTCTAATGTTTTATAATTAGTGGTTACTTTATTCTAAAATGCACCAGCTGCAGCTGCAGATTGTGGGTTTGTGCGGGAAATGGAAATCACTGAGTAAGAAAATCATCAGAAATCCATTCTGTCAATGAACTGAGTCAAGGCTGAAATGAAAAATTGGCTGGATGGAGTTGAAGTGGAGTTAAGCCAATTTGAAAGGAAGTGAATTCTTAATTAGTCCAAGCTAGCACACATGACTGGGAAGTAAAATGTATTATTTAAGGACTTTTTCACAAGGGTTAAGTTTTATTTTACTAATTTATTATTTTTTTAAAAAAGTAATAAAGTCGTTTTTCTACTTGTGTTTAGTTCAGGGTAACTTTTACGCGTACTTGTATTACCCCAATAATGGGGTAGAAGTTACTCCAGAAAAAAAAACTCCCTGGTTGTTGCTTCCAAGCTGAAAAAAACAACACTGTTGTGACTGTGACATCACATTCACCCTTGGAAAACATTTTCTATATGGCCCTCTCCTTCCTACAGTTTGTTATATACCTGCTCCTCTTTGATGCGTTCATTGATCTTGGCTGTGGCCTCCTCATGGGCCCGAAATAGACTGATGACGTTGGCTCGCTCTGGGTCCAAGATGTTCCCGTCGTCATCTCGAACAACCTGGTCCAATTCAAGGATCCTGGTGTGGGGAGTAATAGAGGGAAGATTGATACAAGGTGAACAAGGATGAGGGAAGAGCAACACAGGAACACAGCAAGGGGTATGGACTGGGAGGCAAAGGAATAGAGATTGCAAGACAAAGTTATCAGGAAAAGAACAGAAAGATGTTCAAAGGAGATCAAACTAACATGAATTATACAGTCAGTATGACAAAAATCTGGTTGGTTGATTAAGCTTTAAACAATGAGAAAGTATAAACATGTTTAAATATTAATGCAGGCGTACTTGTTGCCATAGTCAATCTTGGAAGTAACTTTCTGCTTTAGCTCCTTGAATTCATCACTAGGCAGGGTGCCAGACAGGAGCTGAGAACGCCACTCCATCAGTTCCCACATCAGCCTCTGGACCTGTTTGACACGTGCCTCTTTATTGGCCTGGAGAGGTAAATAAATGATGTTCGATTCAGGCGCACAAACACACACACACGAGTACAAAAAGTGGCTCACTGTTTAATTCATACCACAAATAGCTGCTTCCATATGCTTCCCCACTCCCTCAACGTAGTGGTCACCTCCTTCACCAAGGGCATCTCTGCAGACAACACCACTTCCTCATCTCTGTCAGAGCATAAGTAATGGAAAATGGAACAAATTAAAAAAAAACTTTTACAGACAGTTAAAGATGCCTTATTTTTGGTACTGTTATTATTATTTTTTTTACATACCCTCGTTTTTCAATTATGACTTCCTTAACTTGAACAAAACTGACTGGAAACATTCCCTGGAATACATGTAGAGGAGATGAATGAGGAAATGATAAGTGGTGATAGCTTGGAATATTCTTTTCCACAAGAAAGAATAAGAAAAGTAAAATTCTCACATGAATAAATCTGGCTGACCGCTAAAATGTGCTTTAAAGCTTTCTGTTAATGTAAATCTTCACTGATATTATGCTTGTGTAGGCTCTTACCTGTTGCGCTTTGTTCCTAGACAAGAAGCCTCTGTACCAACCTGAAAGACAAAGTGGCATCTTACTATCAAGACAGGAAATCAGGATAGCGTAGACTCTCTAATTGGAACAACATCACCACCTTAAGGGAGTCCAGCTCCATAATTTTGTGGAGATGGAGCTGGACTCCTGTAAAATGGTATCAAAGAGGGGGATGTTGTCCAACATTAGGACAATACCTCTGACCCACTCCATGACGTGCTGGTCAGTCACAAGAGGATGTTCTGTGAGAGACTGAGATTTCCCAAATGCACCACGGAACGACACAGGAAATCATTCCTACCCGTGGCCATCTCCCTGTACAAGTCCTCCATCTAATGCACAGTACAATAACTACACCGTTTTGCACATGCTCTACAGTGAAAATAACAAATAACAAGTTTTGCAGTTTAGAGTAAAATGTCAATCATATATATTTCACCTCTGCAATATTCTGGATATTTATAATTGAGCTATTTGTACATATTGGAGGCATTTCTTATATTTTGTAAAATTTGTGATATATTGTATTATTTAATACAGCTCGCACTGGAACGGTTCGCAGCCGAGTGTGAAGCAGCGGGAATGAGGATCAGCACCTCCAAATCTGAGGCCATGGTTCTCAGCCTGAAAAGGGTGGAGTGCCCACTCCGGGTCGGGGATGAGTTCCTGCCCCAAGTGGAGGAGTTCAAGTATCTCGGGGTCTTGTTCGCGAGTGATGGGAGAAGGGAGCCGGAGATCGACAGACGGATTGGGGCTGCAGCTGCAGTAATGCGGACGCTGCACCGGTCCGTCGTGGTGAAGAGGGAGCTGAGTGTAAAAGCGAAGCTCTCAATTTACCGGTCGATCTACGTCCCTACCCTCACCTATGGCCACGAGCTGTTGATAGTGACCGAAAGAACGAGATCGCGGATACAAGCGGCAGAAATGAGCTTCCTCCGAAGGGTGGCTGGCCTCTCCCTTAGAGATAGGGTGAGAAGTTCGGCCATCCGGGAGGGGCTCAGAGTAGAGCAGCTGCTGCTCCACATCGAAAGGAGCCAGCTGAGGTGGTTCGGGCATCTGACAAGGATGCCCCCTGGGCGCCTCCTGGGTGAGGTGTTCCAGGCATGTCCCACCGGGAGGAGGCCCCGGGGCAGACCCAGGACACGCTGGAGAGATTATATCTCTCGGCTGGCCTGGGAACGCCTTGGTATTCCCCCGGATAAGCTGGAGGAGGTGGCTGGGGAGAGGGAGGTCTGGGCCTCTTTGCTTAGGCTGCCGCCCGGATAAAGCGGATGAAGATGGATGGATGTATTATTTAATTTAGTTCTTAATTTAGTCTGTTACTGTTATTGTCTTGGAGCAACTGTAACCACATAATTTCCCTAAGGATTAATAAAGTACTCTGATTCTGGAAGTTACAGCAATGTAATAGTTATACTCACTGGTCACTTTGTTAAGTACACCAGTTCAATTGCTTGCTACTGCAAATATTTAATCAGCCAATCACATATCAGCAACTCAGTACCTTTTCAAGACAACCTTAAGAAGTTCAAACAGAGTTTCAGAATGGGGGAGGAAAGGCGACTGAAGGGACTCTGAATGAGGCACTGTCGTTACAGCCAGGCTCGCTGGTCTGCCAGCTAAGAACTAAGGCTATAATGTGGTTGAGCACACCAAAATTGGATGGTAGAAAACTGGAAAAAAACATTGCCCGGTCTGATGAGTCTTGATTTCTGCTGCAATATTCAAATAGTAGGGTCTGACTTTGGTGTAAACAACATGTAAGCATGGAACCATCCGGCCTTGTATAAACAGTTCAGACAGATGGTGGTGTAATGGTGTTGGCGATATCGTGTTGGCACAGTTTGGACTCCTTAGTACCAGTTTAGCATTTTTTATCTGAATATTGCTCCCGACCATGCTCATCCTTTTATAGCCAGAGTGTACCCATCTTCTGATGGCCTCTAATGGCTGTTTCTGTGTAACAAAGCCCAAATCATCTGGCTAATTCCATAGACACCAAATCTCCATCCAGCCTTTTAGATTTGCATCAAGAAGATTCACTCTGCACCAACTGTGTTATGCTATCATGTGAACATGGACCAAACTTTCTGACGAATGTTTCCATCATCTTGTTGCATCTCTGCCAGGAAGAATTAAGGCAATGCTGAAGGCTAAACGGGGATTAAACCCAGTACAAGGATGTAAAAAGTAGCAGTTGAGCGTACATATTATTGTATTTTAAATGTATTTATCATGTTTATACTCCATAAAACATGATAAACGTCTAACTCTCACAAATGTAACATTTACAAAAACACGAACAAAATATGCTTACTAACATGCAGTTTTTCAATAACAAATAATTTCAAAGTTTTACACATCTATGTATAAAGTATTTGAACCACACTGACAAACCGGATAACCGACTTATTTAACAACATTTTACCTTCGCAAACCTCTTGGATGTGGACAGTTTCGCCCACCTCCAGGGAAAGGTGCTTCTCATTTTGGCCAACAAAGTTCCACTTTACTAAAAAAGAAGAAAAAAAACATAAGTGAATAAAATAAAAATATACATAAATATATTGAATATATAAATAAGGTTATTGTTACAATGGAAAAATAAACTTGAACACAAACACTAAGTATGCAATGGCAAGCCTCGGTTACAGGAAGATTTTAGTACACACGGTAAGCTAGCTTGATTCGTGACGTCACACGTTATAAGGTTTTTTTTAAAAAAAAAAAAGGCTAACCAGTAAAAAAAAAAGTAGCAGTAAAACACAATAGTAGATGGCGACTAAGTAGCTTAAGGTAAATATAAATAGGTAGTCCAAATAAGTTAGTGTATCCAGATGCTGGCCAGCTGCAAACGGTGGCACACACGAGTAGCCAGGCAACGGAACAGGTTAAGGAGCAACGCCTTTCTTCAGTGGGCCTCAGGTTGGGTTTATGCGATAGTAAACAGCATTTCTTTAGGTTTTGGGCTGTTGATAATCCGGAGCTCTGGAGCAATTTAAAGACGTTAGTAGGCTCTTTTTTTCTGCTTTCTGTCTTTTCTTTAATGACTGTATCAGTCAAAATGATCGGATTTAGGAAACAGTGAAAGCAGCAGTGAGTAGCGACATGGGTTGCAGCCAAAGACCAGTTGCACGGCAGAGGAAAAGTGTGCAGAGCACCGACAGCTAAAGTCTATCATTCATCTTTGTGCAACAGTTCAGAGGTTTGCTCTCCTCCATTTGAGCTTAAAGATGGTTTGCCCTCAAGAAGAACTGCAGCTACAAAATGCCTGCTAATGAAATTCTGACTGTGCAAAAAACCAAGCAAAAAAGTCAGACTATTTCTAGACGATACTTAAACTGATAGAAAAGGAAAAGGAAGCTTATTTGTGCGCACTTCGTGAGACTAAATTGTCAACATTTTTTTTTTTTGCATCAGACTTTTCTACTGTATTCAAACTTGAGACTTCCTTCTTCCCCCACTTCCTGTGTTGTAGTCTTACACAGACCAGGAAGATATTTATACTAGATACAATAAACAATATTTTCTTTGAGTAAGTATATTAGAAAGTGCTTTAAAATGACTTTTTAACCCACACCCACCATCAGCATCAGTCTCGTGCTATAAGTAGATGAACTACCCAGGTGAAAGAACCCTACATGGTCTATCTTTTTGCAAGTAGGTTAAATGATAAATCAATGCAGTGGCTGCAACAGACCAGTGAACCTCAGTTAATAAAGTCTGTATTAGAAGGCAGAAATCTGTGTCTTTTCCAAGTGTGTGACTGCACTGCATATCTAATGGCAACACACACTGATTAGCTCCGCCATATTAAACCCACATACATAACAGATAAACTGCACACTGTACTTGCCCATTCTAGGATTTGCTCCAAGCCAAAACCAGGCTTTCACTTTCAAAAATGAACATTTTTAAGGACTGTTTATCTTTTAGCTTCCGTATTTATGTGCTGCATGCTATGCAATTTGTAGAGATTGCCTACTTGCAGCTGCTTATTTCTCCATTTTTGCTTATGATTTTATCCCTTACAAACCACTGCAGAACCACTTCAGTGCAAATAAACTATAATTAGCGTAGTTGCACTGAAGTTAAATGATGAATAAGATTTCAGGATCTCAGTTCTTTGGAAGGATTAAAGCTGATGTCTACCTCCTAAAGCTCTTTGAGGCCTTTGGCACCTGCCTACATCCGCCAAGCAGGAAGTGATGGGAATCTATTTTTCTCATTTCTATTCATTCGCTGTATAGGCTAGCATCATACCGTAACAGAAAGGCACCATAAAAACTGGATGTGCCTGCACATCTCACACAAAGATACATACAAACAAGCACATGTTGACTTACCTACACCATACCGCTCTCTTGTGGTTTTCATCCAAGGAGCCATGATTGTGTGTAATCCTTTACCTACTTTATACTTTTGTCTTTAGAAATCTCCTAGTTTGTCCGTCCACCTTAACTTCTCATTTCTGCATTTTGTTAACGTTAAATGAAAGCAATAAGCCCATCCCCCTTTGCCTCTCTTCCCCTTCTGTCTCTTCTCTCTTCCTGCCTTCAGGCGGTTAAGAGGAAGTGGGTGAGTACAACAAGGTGGAGTCCTACAGCACCCGCAGGCTTTTGCAGCGTGCGATGTCTCTTATTTTCCTCATTTAGACTCGACGTGCCGTCATTATTCAAAGTAAAGCGTCAGTAACACACGATGACAGTTACAGAAGTGTTAGAGTCGAGAGGATGTCTGAGTGTCCAACCGGGCCTGTACGTGCACATTTTTTTTTGTGCTTTTTTTTAAAGATCTTTTCATGTTTTCATATCTGAAAAACGCAGGTTGTCTGCTTTCTCACAGTAGCATCTAGCTGTTGAACCGTTGATGACTTAAACCATTATTCAGCCATCTTGCACATAACATACTCTGACTTTTCCCTTTGTGGATCACCATTTGAGCTTGTGAAATCAAATGTTGTAGACGGCAAAGCATCAGAGAATATGGCTTGATGCTGTGTTCTATTACAGATAATTTGAGCTCCCCCTTCCTCCTCGATCTACAACCAGAAAGGTAAAAGTGGAGAAAATGCTTTAACAATCCGAATGGCTAGGCAAGCACTACAATACTAATGCTAATCTTTAACAATTTTATGTTGCATAGGGACGATGGGTTAAAAGCTTCCTGGGTTTTTTCTTGCATGAGACATCAAACCACACTCTGTTTTTTTAATATGAATTTTGCTGCTCATTAAAATTGATCTGAAAAGACTAAAAAATGTCTGTAATAACCCAGAGGCCACGTCATCAAGCCCTGCCTGGCTAGCTCTCCATACCTCATTAATGGTTAATTTGATATGCATGTGAATACAGTGAAAAGGATCTAATGATCACATTCCAGCAGCATGAAGCAAAAATTATACTGACTTTGGCAATCACTAAAAAACTTTGTAATGTTTGCAATGTTAGCTGAAAGACACATAAAAGACTGCATGTATAGCAACCGCAGCAATTTTGTCTCTTTAATAGGGAACATTCCTGCAGCTCTATATACTTTCTAAACTGAAACTGCACTAGTACCTCAAAAAACAGCAAGAGATGTGAAGTGACGCAGATGTTAACTGGGTCCTGAATAGCTGGTTTTAAGAATCTTATATAAAATTAATATTCCAGTTGTGGACTGAAAAAAACACTCCTTAAATAAACTGTATTTACCCTGTACCTCCCACAGATTGTTGCCTTGGTAACCATTAGCTTTCCATTCCTGACAGCATCCTTTACACAGCAATTGGCAACAAGCATCCATAATTGATGAGACCTTTTTTAATATTATTGATCGCTCTCTTGACATTAATTATAACCTACACTCTTAGAATAGTAAATAGTAACTTTTCAGAGACCAGTGGGAAGTAATTAATATCCAAACGATCCATTTATGAACCAATAATCATCCTCAAGTCTTTATGAACTTCATCATCAGTATGACACTCCCAAAGCAATCACCCCCCACCCTTTTTAAAAAAAAAAAAAGTACCCTGTAAATATAAACTCAAACTTCAAACCATTTTCAACTGGTTGATGATTATCCTTACAGCTTTTCTTCTGTTATAGTCCCTATTAGGGGAAATATGGATGACTCACGGATTAGTTTCTTCTGGACATCTTCACAAGACAAAGGACCAATCAAAATACTCTATGTGAGTATTACTTTTTGGACAGCCAATGTAGCTCACAATATAAAAGGCCGATTGGCAGGTTGGGTCTCAACCAATAAGGCTATGGCTGTCAGGTTTTGACAGCCTCAACCAATGATGCTGTCAAAACCTTACAGACACATGAAAAACTGATCTATCATCAGCATATCGCTGTTTACTTTTGTTATGATGGTGATTTTAGAGGCTTTCTCACGCCGCACATTTAAAATTAGCCATGTCTGAAATGATCCTTGAAAATGAAATAGTATTCTTTACTAAAGTGAGGACATAAAGGGATTTTGGGTACTTCACAAGTGATAGCCAATGTGTATAATCCATAGACTGTAAATGAAAGGTAGAGCTACTCTTGCTTTGTCCATTGGGGCGTTGTGTTGAGAAGCTTCAAGTGTAAAGTTTTTGCCCTTACCAACTTGGTAATTTGAAACTTAATGAAACTGAATGTGGCAAGAATTGAACTAACCAAGAAATCACACGGTACTCATAGGCTGCTTGTCAATATATCATCCTGTTTGACTCTAGTGGGGACCAGGATTTACCAAATTAATGTTTTTTGCAGTGTGACTTTAACATACTTATCACATGTCCCTTTATAGGCCACCCATTTTTTTAAGTTTTTAATTTTATATTTCAAATCATGGTCATTTAAGTCACTGTATACCTCTGTAAAAGTGTTCACAGAGGTTTATAGACCACAGCACCTAACCTTAAGTCATAAGAGTCACCTGCTGGTAACCTTAGAAAACAATGCGGGTTTGAGGCACTTCTGCATTTGCTTCACTTCTCAGGACCTGAAGTATACATTTTATATAGTCTGTGTTATAATGTAGGTGAGATCATTTGTACCACGCCTTGTGACTCTCAAGTAACATCATTTGAAGTTGCAAATCAGGACATCCTTACAAAACACAATCACAAGTAAATCTAAATTCCTGGTAGCGGTTTATCATAATAACATGACAGAGTTTCACAGCAAGGCGTTCATGCATATTTACCACAGCTCCTCATCTGTTAAACATAGAGATAAATTGGGTGCATTGGAGTAGCCAGCTAAGTTAACATTTGCAGTATATCAAAAACTGTTATTTATAAGAATAAAAGCGAAATCACATGAAAAAAACCCTGTATGGATGGGTCAAAAAGAAAATCCAGAAGAGGGGGCTAGAGCTCTTAAATGGTTTGTTTGTTTGGTTTTTTCAAACATTTACTTATATCTTATCAGTAAGAAGTATTTGCTTCCTCTTGCTCCTTTTTGAACGGGAAATGGTCAGCTTTTTGGTTTTTGGTTTTCCTTGTGAGTAGAAAGGCTTCCAGCTATTTTGTGTTTATTTGTTTTTGTATGTATTAACACTTGTTACTTACATTTTCGAAATAAAGATTTGGCTGATCAGTATATATTTTTTTCTGAACATAGTGTTGACATAGACTAGACACTACACACGCTGGTCACTTTATTAGTTATACCTTGCTAGTAGTTTTGGCTTTGTTATGGCTCTATAGATTCAACAATGTGCTGGAAATTTTCCTCAGACATTTTGATCCATATTGACACGATAGCATCATACAGTTACTGCAGACCTTTTTCCATGAGGAAAATCTGCATAATGCAAATCTCAAAGCTGCCCTATTGGACTGATCTAATGACTATGGAGGCCATTTGAGTACAGTGAACTCTTTGTTAATATTACTCTTAGATAATATATGATGGCATGCATATACTTGCTCAGTAGTAGGAAAATAAAGACATCCCACAGGTTGTTATTTACTCTCAAAACATGCCTATTTTCTTCTCATCCCTGTGATGCGTTCAAGGTGCACATGTGATGATGTTTCATCACTCAAGAAGACAGTGAGCATAAAAAGTAATTGTTTTTAAAGTAGGAGGTTTCAAATGCAATTTCAAATTCTTTCCAAGTAGCTCAACAAATCCAAATCAAATACACAAAAACGTTTCTGTTTAGTTTGGCATAAAGTGTGTCAGCTAGCTAAAAGTATTTCCTTGGGTGAGCAAACAAACAATGTGCAAGCCTGAGAGATGGAGAAAGAATGAGTACAGAAGAGGAAGATGAGAGACTATTTTCAAAGGTATGCAGTGCTCAGCAAGTGCCATTTACAGCACATGACCCTTAGTCTGATTTGTTGGGTCATGTGACTCATGGGTGGAAAATATGAATTCTTGCCAGCTAGCTGTCATCAGGGGCTGTTTGTGACTCAGTGTATATGAAGAGCCAACCTTGTTTCTTTCTCTGTCCTCACATGGTATGGAGGCGCTCTGACTGACGCACTTCAGCTCCAATAGTCACCCAACAAAGCATATATTGCAGCACTAATTTACTCCTCTTTTTGTTTCCATCTCCTGTAAATAAAATAGGTAATGCATATCCTACTTGTATAGAATCCCTCTTTTGTCGCACGCTAGAGTCCCTTATAACAAAGTGGGTGCTAATACCAACTACTAAGGACTAAGTTGCAGGCAGGTTTGGAGGGAGATCACCACCTGTTGGTGGTTGCTTTTGTTTCTATTTGGCCTGGGTCTGTTATTGGAGTAATGGTAAATTTGACGTGTTCTGTAGAATGCCCTTGTGTGAGGCAGTTGTTGCTTTGGCTGTATGGTTGACTTGCTGTCGGGTTATTTTGGGATGGTATCGATAGTAGAGGAGTTTCTCTAGATTAACTTTCCCTGCAGGGATAAGCAACTCGGTCTACTTGTGGGCTAGTTGGCTTGCTCTTTTATGTTATTTTGTGCAGAAACGGATTAAGACCTTGTGTCACTTTCCTGTCTAGGTGAACAACAGCATAGTTGGAACTTAAATGACGCAAGTGGGCTTTGTGTTTTAAGTATATGTCATGGGATGAAGACTAGGGTTGAGAGGCAGTTAGCTGGGTGGGGGGATGTTTCAGCTTGCCATTATTGAGTGGTGTGTCCTGGTTTGTACTGTGGTAGCAAATAACTAGTAGCAAAGTCAGTGCTAGTAGCTTTTTTTCAGGTTGAAATGATGGCTACAGTAGCAGAGTCTGTGGATTATCTAAGTGAGGCGATTTTGAATAAATGTAAAAGAGATCAGTGTTGAAGATTGTTGTACGTTTTAATCTTTACAGACAGGCTTTTAAGGATGCTTTACTGACTGCTTTAACAGCTGAGTTGGTGTAACAAAACTATTAGTTGAAACAGTCTAGTGTTTCAAAGCATGATGATATGGTTACTGAAGAAGGCGTGATGGGGTCGCCAGTGCAGGCTTGAGTAAGTTCTACTTTAAGTTTTGGTGACTTGACTTTTGAACAGAGAAGTAGCTCAGTCTAGCACTGGCTTTAGTCCAAATG